ACTTTTACATATATGCATGAATGTGTATGTTTGTTCCATGTATGCTTGTTGGTGAATGTGTATGTATGCGTATATTTATGAGCATGCATCAGTAAGCGACTTATGAATTTGGATATGCTTGTGTATGAAGTATATGAGATCATCTGCGTGTTTACGTATGCACCTTGTGTCTGTCTATCTGTGTCCAAGTGCATGCATTCATGTTTCTGGGAGTCTTTTCAAATTAGCATCATCTATCTGTAGCTCATTCACTTGTTTACAAGAGTTATCTTACATATGCAAACAAGAATACAAAATAAGCTTATTCAATGTAATTCATTCACCTTTTCACAAGAATACGATAGACGTTCCTCTGCTTCAAGCTCAGTTAGTGACATCTGACCCCAGCTTTTGACAGCCAAGTCTACAGCTTCCTCAGCCAGCTTGGCATTCTTATTTGATAGTTTGCAAGGAAATAAACTTTCACTCACCTGTAATATTATGTAATGCTTAGAAATCAGTAATCCAGTTACAGATAACTCCAACTTTAGATTTCCAAAAAAAATCAGATTAATTCTCTTATAGGAATATCAAATCAAACCCTCCATGTCTTCTTAGGAGGAGGCTTCTTCACTGATACAAAGGCTCCATCAACTGGCTTAACAACCCTGAAATTTTTATGAAGTAAGAGAGAAGATAATTTATGATTTCAAATAAGATAACCTTGCAGTATGCAATATGACTAGATAACCGTGCACTGACGTAACTGGATAATGATAAAAAAAAAGATCTTTTGTACTTTGGCAGCTATATTAAATTGTATCCTACACTTGAGGATGAGAAAGCAATGCAGAGTATACATTATGACTAGATAAAAATGCATTGAAGTAGATGGATAATATCAAAAATCACCTTTATACTTGGTATATTAAATTGTATCTAAAATTTCAATCCTTTCAATGTGCACCTCCAATTATCAGAATATATCAAATTGCCCCTTCCATCATTAGTTTCTGTTAAACTTAACTGTACTCTTTTTTTTTTACAAAGTCAATGAAATTATCATTAAAATTAATAAAAATAGTGAAATTTCAATATCTCTCTTTACTTCCTTTTCTTTCTTTCTTACTCCTGTACTGCTGCCCTCTCTTTCTTATCCTCATCAGTGCCAACACCATGATACAGATAGTATCACTGACAACCAAACCTTAACAGCAGTCGTTTTTAACAAAAAATTAAGAACTAGATTTCATAGAGGAAGATGATTATAGAAGCAGATTCCACATGGAAAAATGACTGCAGTCCCATAATGACCTCCATTTCACAGCACAAATACAATTATATTCTCCCATGTTGACATCTCTCCTTCTCTCTCTCTCTCTCTCATCCCCACAATAAATATAAGAATGCACCTTGCAAGAAATAAGATTTTGAAATTTGATATCAGACTTGGAACAAAGAGGAGAGAGAGAAAGAGAGAGAGATAAAGAGGCAAGAGAACAACTCGCAAGCTTCTCCTTCAATCAGACCCTTGTATTAACACAATAATAATAAAGTGAACCAGAAGGGGGAAAAAGAGAATGTTTTTTTAAAGAAAAATAGTTGGTCAATATGGTATACAATAGTTTAAGTACAATGTGATATAAATACAGAAGTGTAAAAGCATTTTGCAATATACAGAGCCATTTTAAACATTCAAAGGACACTGGTGTCAGAAAACAACTAGAGATGAATTTGCTAGTTTATTTACTTCCTGTCCCAGATGTAACAGAGAGCACCATGCACCCCAAGAATTCACATGGACAGTAGAAAAGGTTGTTTCTTCTGATACTTCAATGTAAATATAAGGGAACTAGTAGCAAACTATCAGGTAATAGAAAAGACAGTGTTTGGTTAATTTTCTACTCAATACTTGGACAATTTCTACTGTTGATTTCCATATTCATAATAAAAGCATAAATATGGTATTTGAATTACCACCATCCCACTTTGAATTTCTTGTTGGTGGGAATTCAACCCCTACCTTATAAGGTAGAAATTGAATTTCCACCGTCAAAGAATTTAAAGGGGAGTAGTAACTCAAACGCAACACATTATGTCCCAATTATGCGTACTAAAACTAATATATTGACTCGGAATTGAACGGGAATTGAACTAAACTCAACAATAGAGTAGTATAACTTAGACTGTTAGTCCAAATGCCAATTATGCCCACTTCTCTAGGTAGTATAACATCAAGACCCGGCCTTGTTAGCAGACTAGGCCAACAATTCCTAACAGAGCAGTGAGAGGAAGGAAACAGGATAAAAAAAGAACGTAGGAAAAAAGAAGAGAGAGCAGAATGTAAGAGAAGAATTTCAGAGAAATATCATTAGGTTTTTCATAACTTTTTCCTTAGATTACATCCATATATATAGCTCGTACTGCTGCCAATAATGGCTGGCAGTAAAGGTAATTCGTCCTCTACAGTGCAAGGACAGCTGTGACATCGGATCGTCATGTGCCATAGTACTCTACTGCAATCCCACTAAAGAAAATATAAAAAAGGAAATCTTACTACAGAAAATGAAAGGCAATAAACTCTAACAGAATATCAAATGTCCTGATGTTTCTTTCCGCCAATAAGCTGGTTCCTGACATACAACTATAACCTAGACATTGATAATTCCAAATCAGGTATCAAACCAAAAAAATCTAAAAGTCTGAAAAACAATAACCATCAAGATCCTGGACTGCATACAATTTAAGCTCAAAGCATTCAGAAGAAAATCAGTTACTGCATTGCACAAATACCTTGGCATTAGTATCTCACGGAGCTTCAACCTTGCCATAAATTCTGCATTGCCACCAAGGATTATATCTGTCCCACGACCAGCCATATTGGTAGCAATGGTCACTGCCCCCAGACGACCACTCTGTCCTACAATTTCTGCTTCTCTCTCCACATTCTCAGGTTTTGCATTGAGAACCTTAAAATACATACATATACTAAGTTAAACAACCTGAAAAAATATGATCATTAGGTTATGTGTGGTACTTAATCATTCAAAAGAAACTTCATAAACAGTTCCCAATTGTAGCGATCAACTTTATTCCTCCCAGGTTATCAAATTTCTATTCACGAATGAGTAGCAAACCTCACCTCATGGGGGATCCCAGCTTCTCGCAACTGTTCTGACAACGAGTCACTCTGCTCGACACTTGTTGTACCCACAAGCACTGGGCGACCTGCTTTGTACATTCTAGAAATTTCTACAACAACTGCTCGCCATTTTCCTGTAGCAGCCCTGAAGACTACATCAGACTCATCCTGAAAAGAGTAAAGATGGTGAGGAACTTGACAACTGCATCACTATAACAATTTATGCATCAAGCATAAAGGTTGAAATATACAGCTCACATGAATCGGGCTTCCAAAATCCAGACAAGAATGACAAATTTTCCTCATCTATAGAGATTTAGTACTTAAAAGCTAAACTTTCAAAAGGGTAAACAAATGTAATTAATTTTCCCTTCAGCTACTCTTTTCTTTCAAACACAGGAGCTGGAATACAATTTCAGAACATA